AGAAGATGTGAACCTGAAGTTCAAGAAAGAAGATTGTACTACGATATTGCAAATAAAGTGCTCATTATGAATTTTATGTGTCAATTGTAAACACTTTGGTTAGAAGTGAATTCTGGATATTTTCTCAACCATAAAAAAATGGTATTATTATAAGGAACCTGTAGTTCCAACATATAAGAACCTGAAGTTCTCCTTCGCATGTATTTTATATACACATGTTCATTTTTATTAATCCTTCCCTATAAATAAAATGTCAAATCTTCAAATTTTTGAGTTTCTTACACTTGATATCTCCTGAAGAGAAACAAGTTTGTCCCTTCTCACAATATTTGATTGTTTGATTGTGTGCCTTATATGCTCTCTCCCCCACAACGCATTCAATATAATGTAGAAGACTGTGTATTGACATTGGCTATAACTCCTCGTCTATTGTTAAATGTTTAGAGTTTTTGACAGGAGATTTATTAACATCAAAGTAAGTTGGTTGTCAATTTTATGATGAAATATTCCCAGTCTTAGGGGGAGACAAGAATAATGAAAGACTGGTAATACAAGAAATTATATGAAATGCATCATTGTAAATTTTCGACTCCTGAAGTGGTCAATGTAATTTTGAAGTCTGATTTGCAATGAAGAGCAAATGGATTACTCGATGCATTCACATATATGAGCAGAGTGACAAAGTTACATATACCAGCATTTTATGCATCGCTCAATTTAAGGTAGTCCCAGAAGTGACTATTGAACATTTTATGTGGGAGAATAATTGGTTTCAAAGATAAGAACCCACGAAAATGAAGATATATAGCAAAAATGCTATTAGTGAAACCACATACATGATTATGAGTGAAACCCCAGAAGAGGTAACTGTCCTAGAAGAAGACTAATACTGTTCTAGAAGAAAATGAATCCCTAGAAGAGGTAAATGTCCTAGAAGAGACTAATATGATTCCAGAAGAATAAGTTTCCTAAAGAAACATCGGTACCGAAAGAAAATGAGATCTCTATTAATTATGTACGAGACTGTACAATATGGAACCAAAATGAAACACGTGTTAATGATATTATTGCATATGCTATGGCAATGGATGTAATCAATAAAAGAGATTACATGCCTAAAACTCAAAGAAGAGTACATGTAGATAGTACATAAATGATTTGCCAAAATGGAAAAAGACCCTGAAGGTCGAATATAAGTCACTCGATAAACGGAATATTTTCAGACCTGAAGTCTGAACACCCATAGACGTCAAACCAATAGGTTTAAAATGGGTGTCTGTAATAAACAGAAATAAAATGAATGAGATTGTGCGATATGAAGTACTACTTGTAAGGCAAGGGTTTTTCCTTAATCTCAGGAGTTGATTATGAGGAAACGTATTCTCCACTAGTGGATGCAATATCCTTTTAGAATTTTAATTGGCCTCGCAATCTCAAAAGGACTTCAAATAAATGATATAGATGTCGTTATAACATAATTATAAGGGACACTTGAAATCGACATCTGTGTGATAATAATCCCTGAAGGATTCAAAATACCAAAAGAAATAAAATTAATACATCGAGATATGTGTGAAGAGATCGTGGAATGGTCTTAAGTAATCTGGTCATATGTGGTACAATTGACCCAGTGAATATCTCGAAAAAGAAAGATACAAATTTGAAATCAACCTATGTGTTGTCATTCAAGGATCGCTCTCAATATTCTTTATTATAGCAGTTTACGTCAATGTATAAATATCATTAGATCTCCTGAAGAGATAGAGAAAACAAAAAAAATTGTTGAACTCTTGAAGAGAGTATTTGAGATGGAAGATCTTGACATGACATAAATTATACTTTGGATTGTATTTTAAACACCTATATGATGGCACATTTGTCCATAAGTTAAACTACATTCAGAAGATGTTAACACGTTGAAATATGGATAAAGCTCATCCTTTGAACATACCCATGGTTGTTCATTCATATATATATATATTCATAACATTCTAATCGCCTCCCAGAAGAGGGCGAATAAGTACTTGGTCCTGCAATACCAAATTTTAAGGGTGAAATTATATTGGTAATGTGTTCACATATGGTGATAAGACTTTTTCTTGGAAGTCGACTGAGCGAGCACGACCAGATAACTGAGGCAGTATAACTGATCCTGCAGTATCAGTTAATATAGGTCCTGAAGAACCTAGCCAACATTATCCTGTGGCATAATATTGTTAGTGTATAATGAACGATGATATATCTGAGGGGGAGTGTTAAATATGACAGATATATTACTCTTATTATTTAGAATATCTGGTTACCTTGTTTACGTAGACTTTACCTCCTCCCTGTGTATGTATAAATACCCCGACATATGATGAATAAAGTACTCAGTTCAAAATTCCTGAAACATGCAATGAGAAAGCTCGTGAGTTATTCTCAATCAAGTTACAGAGATCATTATACGGATTCAATCTGGCAGAATGTGGTATAACCGTCTTAGTGAATACCTTGTTAGAGAAGGTTACATAAATGATCCAATTTGTGTATGTGTTTTCATCAAGAAATCTGAAGTTGGATTTGCTATCATAGCAGTATATGTAAATGACCTAAACCTTGTTGGAACACTAGAAGAGTTAATAAATACTGCAAACTATTTAATGAAAGAGTTTGAAATGAAAGATCTTGGGAAAACCAAGTTTTGTCTCGGCCTGCAGATCGAGCATATATCAAATGGGATTTTATCCATCAATCAACATATACGGAAAAGGTCCTAAAACGATTTTACATGGATAAGGCACACCCATTGAGCAGTCTCATGGTTGTTCGATCATTGGATGTAAAGAAGGACCCTTTTCGTCCTCGAGAAGATAATGGAGAACTTTTAGGTCCGGAGGTACCTTATTTAAGTGCTATAGGGGCGCTAATGTATCTTGAAAATTGTACAAGACCTGGTATAGCCTTTCGGTTAATTTGTTGGCAAGATATAGCTCGGCACCAACACGACGACATTGGAATGGTGTTAAACATATATTACGTTATCTTCGTGGAACAACCGATATGGGCCTGCTTTATTCGAAAGGTTCGGAATCACTAGTTGTTGGTTACGCTGATGCTGGCTATCTTTCTGACTCACATAAGGGTAAATTGCAAAGTGGATATGTTTTTACTTGTGGTGGTGCTGCAATATCACGGAGATCAGTAAAGCAAACACTAGTTGCAACCTCATCAAACCACTCGGAGATAATGGCGCTATATGAAGCAAATCGAGAATGCACATGGTTAAGGTCAATGGTTCATCACATTCGAGAAACTTCTGGATTATCTTTGAATAAGGCTCCATCATTACTCTATGAAGATAATGCTGCTTGTATTGCACAAATTAAAAGTAGCTACATCAAAAGCGACAAGACAAAGCACATATCACCAAAATTCTTCTATCCGCACAAGTTTCAGAAAAGTGGAGACATTGAGGTTTGTCAGATACAGTCATGCAATAACCTTGCGGATTTGTTCACAAAGGCATTGCCAACCACGACATTTAGGAAGATGATCAATGGTATTGGAATGCGTCAACTCAAGGATCTTTTGCCATGTCCAGGGGGAGCATTATAAGCACTGTACTCTTTTTCTTTCGTCCAAGTTTTTGTCCCATTGGGTTTTTCTTGGCAAGGTTTTAACGAGGTGGTGTCTTAAGCTCAAGTCTACCTAAATGGTGAACATCCAAAATCCAAGGGGGAGTGTTATGTACAAATGTCTTTTGATGTTCTCCATGTCCTTTGATTATCCCCTTAAATTAGACCTTTGCTTTTCCCCTATGTAAGCCTATATATAGAGGCACTATATGTTGAAATGGATGATTCATCTCTTTAGTCTCTCATTGCATTCCTTCTCTTTTCATTCTACATTGCACTTTGATCTTTCATTTGTGTTCTTATCAAGGTATATCTCTATCAGTTTGTTCATAACAATATTCGTATTATCTTTATTTCTAACATTTAATACTTTCTTACTTTAATTTGTAACAAACAAACAGCAATGAAGCTACATGATCATCAAGTGTGAGACAAGTGACACCACAATGTCTCACAAACACATACTCCCTCCGTCTCTAATTATATTACAATTTTTTCTCTCTTTTCAATAACTTTTGTTTATTTACACGATTTTATTAAATATTTGATAAAAGTAAATATTCTTGTCACTTTTTGTTTTGTAGAACTTTTGACTTATTTTTTAATATGTAATTTTTATTTTTTATCGATATACTGATTTGTAAATAAAATGATTTCAAAAATGAGATATTTCTCCTCGTAAACCCCATAATCAAATTGGGGACAGAAGGAATATGAAATACTTTGCATTGCTGAAATACTTGGTGTGACTCTAACTTTATTTTCTGCTGAAATAAACATAAAGTAATTGAAACACTATGGGGTCACATTCGGGGTGACTCTAATTTTTAGTAAGTGTATATGTGAAACAATATGGTGTCACATTTGGTGTGAGTCTGATTTTTATTTTTTTTATTGAAATAATCATAGAGTAATTTACTTCCGTCCAACCAAACAACTCATGTAGCTAGTAATAACCATTGAGTGATTTTCCCATGGCATTTAATATACTCTTCCCTTCCAAAACAATGTCCTTGCTTACTATATATTCTAGTATCCCCATAATTTTTGTTTATTTATTTATTCTCATTGATTATTTCATAAATTAAAATACAACATTTGAACTATATATATAAGAGAAATTTACCTAAATAGGACTAAAACATAATGACTTTCCCAATATAGGACTATATGTTTTTATTTCCCAATGTAGGACCTTTGGTCATTATGAAGTCCTATTTAGGGAATAAAAAAGTTTAAGTCCTACATTAGGAAAGTCATTATGTTTTAATCCTATTTAGTGCAAATTTCACTATATATAATTTATGTTTTTTTATTTTTTGTACCGGCCAGTTTGTGAATAAAATAATTTTAAAGATGATATAAATATGCACGTTGTTCGAAGTGAGACGATTATTTTGGACGGGTGAAGTTGCATGTGAGCTAGGTATAAATAGCAGCCATTCTTAATTGGGCTCAACACTCCTCCTCCTCATCAATAACTAAGTAAGGGGTAAAACAATGGCTCCAAACAGGCCCTTGTCCCTTCTTCTTCTTCTAGCTGCTGTTTCAGCCAGTAGTAGCAGTAGTAATAATGTGAAGGCTGCTGCTGCAGGTGTAGTGCCCAGCACTCACTTTGCTGCTCCATTCAACAGGACCAGTTTTCCATCTGATTTTGTTTTTGGAGCTTCTTCTGCTGCCTACCAGGTCTTTAAATATATATTTACTCTCTCTGTGTCTATATATATATATATATATATAACATTAGAGTTTGTTTTCTTCAATTTATTCTTTTTATTTATACTTATTCTTATTATTGGAATCAGATCAGACTAAGACAGAAACAGCTTTAAATATATGTAACTACAATCATATCAGATTAGAACTTAATCGAGTCATATATGAATCAGTCAGATAAGTTGAAGAGAATAATCCCTCACTCTGAACGTGAAAAATGAAAATTACGAATTTTTTGAACGTTGGGATTTGATGCACATTTGCGGTAGAGCTTGCCGGGGTAACAAAATTCAACTTATTTATTGAAACGCTACAACTCATTATTTATGCATTCTCATTTATTTTAAATAAAAAAAATATTCTCATTTTACCACAAATGTGACCAACTAAATTTGCATCGCAATAGGTAAAGAAGATCAAAGTACATTATTCGCATTTTTCCAAATGGCTGGATTAATATTATGTTCGAATATAATGCAAGTTAATTAATTATATAGGCCTGAATTAATAATTAAGTGTGCATATATAATTAAATAATAATGCTTGATGCAGATTGAAGGAGGAGCACTTGAAGATGGCAAGGGTCCTAGCATTTGGGATACTTTTACTCACAAACACCCCGGTAATTTAATTTAATTTAATTACATTCTCTCTTTAATTTAGATGTTTTTTTAATAATTTACTGCAATTTTTTATTTTTACAAATATAAAAAGTAATAAGAAAAAGAAAATTTGATGATTATAAAAATTTAATCTAGAGAGACATACTATAAGCTCTAAAGCCGCCTAAAGGTACTCCATACTCCATTAGCCCATCTCTAACCAAAATATAATGCAGTAAATGTCAACTTCACAGAAATTTATCTTTAACTCATTACATCAGAAGCAAAATAACATTTCATAGTGCAAATTAGAATAAATTTTAATAATCATTCAAATGGCTCACAAATGGGTCAAATATACTGTTAAAATTTGATCATGTAAATAATAATAAGCATGTAACTTAAACTAGGACAGAAAGATTAAGTTAATATTTTACAAAGTCACAGATTCAGGGGATGATTATTTTGTATGTGAGAAAGATAGTTTTTAAAAAATGCACCTAATAAATTGACAATGATTTTTTTTAGTACAATAAATTGACTGATATTTAATAATGTACGGAGTACCTGATAAATTTTAGGAGCTGCAAATATCCAACCATCTATACCAAAATTAAATCCAAAATGTATTAAATGTCAAATTAAACAGAAATTTATCTTCTACTCACTACACTGAACTCAAATTTTTAAAAAATCTCACACTATATTCCTTTCCCTCACTACTTTTTATACAGGTAAAATTTTAAAAAAAACAAGTGAATGAGGTAAGCTAAAAACCAGTAGATTCAAACACGAAAATTAAACATATGTCAACCAAAAGAAATTACTCGTAAAACAAAAAAGAAAAGTTAAAAAATGCATGCAGTACTCTAAGGACCTATTTGGAAATAACGTTAGAGATTAGCATTAGCATTTTGAAAAAACAATCTACGGGCAGCGTTTTCAAAATAATCTGTATCATTAAAATTTTATCCAAAACGCTAACGCTAATCTCCAACGCTATTCCCAAATAAGCCCTAAATCAAGACACAAATCTACGTTTGAAGAGGTGTGAGAAATAGGAAAAACATACACCCACCGTCCCTAAATCATTTTATGTAAAGAGAAATTTATCTAAATAGGACTAAAACATAATGACTTTCCCAATATAGGATCATATGTTTTTATTTCCCAATATAGAACTTTTGGTCATTATCAAGTAGTCATTATTCAAGTAAATATCCATCATTACTGGTCATTATTCCTCCCACTAGGTCATTATTAAGTCCTATTTAAGGAATAAAAAAGTTTAAGTCCCATATTAGGAAAGTCATTATGTTTTAGTCCTATTTAGTGCAAATTTTACTTATGTAAAACGAAGTAAAATCTCAAATTTTTTTAATTATTTCATTTAAAGAGTGGTATATAAATAAACAATAAAATTTACATATTTAAAAAGTACATCAAAAGTTTTACAAAATAAGAAGTGATGATAATATTTTATTTTATCAAATAGTCAACGAAAAAACAACAATAAACAAAAGTTCCCGCAATTTTTGAATGGTAAAGTGTGTAAATCATTGGGGAAAAAATTTAGGGACGAAGGGATTATTAAATTGTGAAGCAATTTTTGAATCGTAAAGAGTGTAAATTATTTAGGAAGGTAGTATTAAATTAAAAAATGAAAAGCGAAAGCCGTTGTACAAATATTTCATTTGTATCACAAAACACTTTATATTTTCTTTTATGGATGTCCCAAAAACACATTATATTACGGAGTATATTTTAGTAGTTAGTATGTTATTCTTAAAGCATTTCTTTTGTCAAACAAAATGTAATCATAGATTTTTTTTTATTTTTAAAATGATTTTCTTAAATTTTGTAAAATTCAGCCTTAAGGTTTTATATGGGGTGGAGAAGTAATTAAGTGGGTCCCATGCCAATTATCATGAACACTATCCTCAGGAGAAAAACTCCACCCATTGGCCACTGGTACTTATTGGTAGGTTAATTGTTTTGAAGAAGACTGATTGGTATAGTTCTTGGACTATATGGGTATAATATAAAATATGGTCCCTCCTTGGGTACCCTCATCACTCATATCATGATATATTTGTGCATTATTCTACTCCCTCCGTCCTATATCTTTCTTCTTGTTGCGCAAAACGAAAAAAAATCCTAAGTTTTTTCAATCTATTTTATTTAAATATTGGTATAGAAATAAAAAATAAAACATACATATTTAAAAACTATATCAAAAGTTCAACAAAACAAGTGGTGACAAGAATAATTTATTTTATCATATAGGCCATGAAAAAACACAAATAAATATAAATTCCCGTGAAGTTGGAATAGTGCTCTGGGAAGAAAGTTTTAGGACGGAGGGAGTACTAGACAATAAATGATTATGTGCCCAAAAATTATCTTTCTCACATCAACACAAATATTTTGTCTAAAAAAATTCCAATCTTAAGATTTTCATGTCTGATCTGAATAATTGACTGATGTTAAAATTTCAAGTCAGTAATAAAGATTGAGATTTCTATATGATCTCAATAAATACTTTATGCAAAACACAAAGATTTCGTTTTACATTTGACTAAAACTTTGTCTAAGTCATTTTACATCCTTATAGACCAGTTAAGTTACGTTCCCCACACATAAACAGTTACCCTTTCTTTGGAAGAGGGAAAATAAGGATGACAAAGAAAAGTAAAGGATGGAAAGTAAAAGATTGAGTGGATATAATATGTTTGGGAAGAGGAGGGAAATAGGAAAGGATGTAAAATAAAGAAATCATCTTAATATGAATAAAACATAGATAAAGTACTAAAATAGAAGTTTCATGTTTTTATTCTCAAAATAAGAGTTCTTATTGTGGTAATATGACACGGTGTATGGACATTCAACAATATTTTTTTGTAAATATATATAGTCATAATTGACAGTGTAAATACATTTTAACTTCTATTTTGGAAATATAAAAATGTGAAGCTCATATTTTAGTATGTTTTTAATTAAAATATACTAATTTACTCCTAATTTATTAGTCTTTTTCTCTGGAAAATATTCTTTAATTTTTCTTCTAAAATGGGAAGAAAGTTTTAGTGCTATAATTTTACATTTATTCTATTAATCAGAAGGTAAAATAGATTTATTTTTTCTTACGTCCTAAAATATCCAAATAAGAGAAGGGAAAATAATTTTATTTTCTATCTCATCCCAAATTTTCCACTCTTATTTTCTTTTCTTTCCTAAAAGACTATCTAAACAGGGGGTTCATGTGTGATGTAATTTCACAAAAGAAAAAGAAAAGTAATGTGATGTAAAACATTTATCGTCCACTTTAAAATCGGAAAATAATTTCAAAGTACATTTTAGAAATTTATGTACGGACCGTACATTCTTATTGTGAATTACTCCATCCGTACTACATTATTTATTCAATTTGACTTTTTTCACGTTAGAGTAGACAAAATATGATCATCAATCGAATAAAAATTATACAGGATATTTGATATTAGTATAAAATTGATTTCATTATATTTAATTATTTTGTGAAAAACTATCACAAATTCATTTAGTTATCCCAATATGCAATGTAAATTTAATATGATTGATGATAATAATTTATTCAATTTGACTTGCAAAAATTAAACTGAACGAATATTTTGAGACAATCAGAATTTGCTTGAACTTTTTTAAAAAAATAATTCTGCATTTAAGAGCAGTAAGATGAGTGTACTTGTATTTTGTTGCAGAAAAAATTTGGGACAAATCCACTGGAGATGTGGCTGATGATTTCTACCACCATTATAAGGTATATATATATATATATATATATATATATATATATATATATATATATATATATATATATATATATATATGTATGTATGTATGTATGTATGTATGTATATATATATATATATATATATATATATAAGAGTCCTATTTCAGACTATTTTAAAGAATCATTACGTTTATTTATTTTCCTAATAAAATAAATAATACTCCGGGGTATATGGTCTACATTTTTTCTCTCTTTAAAAAAATTTCAAAACTCAATTTTAATTTTTCGTCGCATTTAATTTCTTAAACTTCCTTAAATCAAATTAAATAATGTCAATTAATTCAAGATGGATATCTAGAGTGTATGGAGCTTCTCTCTCTCTCTCTCTCTCTCTCTCTCTCTCTAAAATAAATTTATGTAGCATCAAAATAACTATTTTGAAAAAGGAGAATTTATATATAACTTAACTTTTCTTTTTTAGCATTATTGACTCCATTACAAATGGGGAATAATTTTGGAGTATATAATTTCTCACTATATATTTTGCAATTTACTAAAAATCGTGAATAATGGTGATATATTAATAAAAAAATACAACCATCTGGATTTATTCTTAATTTAAAAAAATTAATTTATCAAAAAAATGAACAGGAAGATATACAGCAGCTCAAAGAGATTGGCATGGACGCCTTCAGACTGTCCATCTCATGGACTCGGATTTTACCAAGTAAGATTTTTGTATATAATATTTTTGAATTATTTCTAATGCTCCGTCCTAAAATAGATCACGCTGTTACTATTATACACTGTTACTATTATGATCTTCTCGACTACTTTTATTTCTTCTTTTCATGTTTTCAATGACCATTTGTTAAAATAAAATATTTTTGTCACTTCTTATTTCATAGAATTTTTGAACAATGTGACTTGTATTTTTTATTTTAAAGTAAATTTTAATTAAAACAATTTTAAAAGTGATAAACTTTATACTCTGTACCGAATAACAACATCCATTTTGGGAGGGTACTGTAGTCATAAATACATCCATTTTGGGAGTATTTCTTTTAGGGGAAGAGAATTAATGTAAATTAACATGGTCTCATTAATTCATTTGACTGTGACACACTGACACCAGGATCATGGGGACAATATAGTCATTTAATGGGGTGTACCATTTTGTGTACCCCAAATGCACACTAGATACTTCTTCAGTTCTTCACAATCCATTTTTATTTGATTTTTATCTTTTTTTTTTTAATTCAAGAGCAATACTTTCTGCATGATTGGTGTACTCCAAACATTTTCCATTTCTAATCTCTTTATTCAAGAGTAATACTTTCTCCGCCCATTTATCTAATTTGACTTACTCGACTCAAACAGGGTGAACTTTGAGATTCAATTAAACAAAAATGTTAATGCTAATTAGATTTATTTTATTAAAAATTTTCAAAATTTATTTCATTGTAATAATATGCAATATAAATTAAGAATTAAAGTTAAAGTTTGTCCAATTTCATTCAAAAAAATCAAACTGAACAAATATAGTGGAACAAAGATAGTACTTGGTCCGTCCGTCTCTGAGTGTTTGTCCACTTTTGATTTTTGAAACTGTTCATCTAATCACTTTGACTCATCAAATTCTCTCAATCCGTAAGCCTAAAAAAATTCATGTGTGATCTTGTTTGATTCGTCTCAACATATAGATTATTAATATACAATTTTTATAATTTTTTAATATATAAATTATAAGATAAAATGAACTAAAGAAGTGCATTGGATGATGTGCAAAAATGAAAGTGGACAAACAATGAGGGACGGAGGAGGGAGTACTACTTAGACACCACTTGAGTACAATTGTAATAATTTAATACTCCTTCCGTCCTATAATGTTCTTCCCGGTTCTGTTTACGAAGTTTGACCGACTTTATTTTTAATTCAATTTATTTGATTGTAGGTGTAAAATTAAAAAATGAAATTTATATATTTAAAAAACTACATCAAAAGTTCTACAAAACAAGTGGTGACAAGACTATATTATTTTATCAAATACCTAATGAAAATAGGTAAAGAAAGTGATTAAAATTTGACCGTGTGAATAATAAGTGAGAAGAACATTTCAGGACGGAGAGAGTAATTTATACTAATACAAAATATAAATACAATTGTAAAATTGAGGAATGTTAGGGGTACCCCATTTTGTACACCATGCATCCTATCCCTTCATTTATTTTTTTATTTTTAATTTTTTTTCTCTCTTGCTTTGTGTGGTGGAAATGGAGAGGGTACAAATGGGGTACCCCTAGCATTTTTGTTGTAAAATTTCGTACCCACAGCCATGAAAGTGCTAGTGCAATTCTTTGGTGTAGAACTTGGTGTGCACCAAATATCAAACACCTACCATGATTGCTCTTTATTTAGTGCTGTGGGAGCAAGCATGTGAACCTGTATCATTTGTCTCGTCTTTATTGGGTATGGGGTTGTACGAACCACTCATTAAAATTAAATGGAGAGTGATTGTCATTCAAAAAACATAGGGAGGAAAAGATTCCCTATCGTTAATATAGTTATCTTTTAAGGTCCGTTTGGTACACGAAATTTACGAAATTAGAATTGAATTGGATATACGAAATTGACGGAATTAGAATTAAATTGAGAAATAAAATTCTATGAAATTGATTTGGATCAAATTAAATTCTCTAATTGCAATTCATTTTTGGCACCACTAATTTTAAATCCACATACTTTTGTGCTACGAAACAACAAAACTAGAATAATAGTCTTCAATTCCAATTTCATAATTTGAATTTCGCATACCAAACGGTGCCTTAATGCATTTTTCAAAAATCAAATTCGGGCATTACTCTTGGGCATTAATCCGAATTTGGCTCAAATTCCATGTTTGGGAAACTTAAAAAATTTGAATTTGGATTTAAATCAAATTCTTCTCATTCAAAATAAATCTTAATTTGAAATCTCTGCTCCTCCCCTTGTAATTTGAATTTCAAGATTTTAAATTTTGGAATTGAAATTCATGAATTGAAATGAAATGCTAGTTGCCAAACACTACCTTATTAGATTTATCGTATTGAGAACTTTCAAAATTATATTTCATTGTGCTAATATGCAATATAAATTCAGAGTAATTGGAGTTCAAAGTTTGTCCAGTTTGACTCGAAAAAGTCAAACTGGACAAATACACTGGGACGGATGTAGTAGACCCTTACAAGAATTAATAAAGCTTTAAGTAATTTTTTGATTAAAATTAGGATCAATAAATATAAAAATACATATTTTCAATACAAAGGAAAAATATAACAAAAATAAGTTAAAAAAGACTAAAGTATTCTTAAGTAACACTAGTTAACAACTGTATCAGCAAATTAATACTAGTACATTATTAGTAATCCCAAGCTCACAGACTTTTTAATCCCAATTAAGCTCACATTCCACGTGAATCATGCCAAACTAATAATGGTTAGATGGAGTTCGCTGGGGGACATTATTGCCAATCTAAATGGCTTCATACTCTTCGGGTACCAAGTCCACATTGTTCTGAACCAAATTGATATGGTCGATATAGAACCAAGAAACGAGTTTTCAAACTAAATAATATCTCGAACCGTACTATTTTATTTTCTACATGTCGAGGTCAAAATTTAAAACTTTAACAAAAAAAAGTCAAATAGAAAAATTATTTTCGAGCGGAGAGAGTACAAACTTACAATGTAGTATCGTGACCTCCCGTTCGGGAGAACCACAGTGATGCCACGAGACCACTAGTTCTTTGGGTCATAAATGTTAGTTGAATGAGTAATGTTAGAGTCACAAACAAAACATTCACAAATTTGCTGAATATGTAAAGTAATTGTTTTAGCATGCACCATTAATTATAGATTATTAAATGCAGGTGGGAAGATCAGTGGGGGAATTAACAAGAAAGGAGTGGAATTCTACAACAATGTCTTCAATGAGATTGTAGCACATGGTAATTCACTTTCTTCTCTTCATCTTCCATACTTAACCCAATTTAAAGTTTGAATTGTGATGTTTATTACTAATACTAGAGCCTAAAGTTATATGCTTAGCTTGAAATCAGAGGAAAAATTATGAACTATTCATTCCATTAACATTTAATTAAGTGGCTATTATGCTTTTTGAGACACAATAAAAAATTGAATAAATATTTGCATACATCATGTTTATAATCATTCAACTTTTGATATATCATGAAAGACATCAGTATTAATGGTGTAGTTAGCATAAGCTCTCATTAGTATCATGAACTAGGGGTAAAAGAGTAAATGTGAATAACCTCAATGTTCTTCCTCCATAAAGTATATTGTTTATTTGTTTGCAGGCATGAAGCCATTTGTGACCCTGTTCCATTGGGATACTCCTCAAGCCCTAGAAGACGAATATGGCGGGTTTCTAAGCTCTAAAATAGTGTAAGTTTATTTGTTAGGTGTACTCCGCAAGTTTTGCATCAATCTCAATTTTTGCATTTTACACACGAGATTTGCGTGAAACAGACAAATACATTTGTCTGTATTTGTCTATTTCACGCACAAATCTCGTACGTTATATACCGCATAAAAACACGTTATCTTTATCACAACTATCCATTCTACACACAAATTTCTATTAATTACTGCAAATTATTTTTACTACTAATATATAACTAAATTTGAGTGTCCTAAAATTAATCTTGGAAAAAAAACAATGCAGGGAGGACTATAGAGACTACACAGACCTTTGCTTCAAGCTCTTCGGAGACCGGGTGAAATATTGGATCACATTGAACGAGCCATTGTCCTACAGCATGAACGCGTACGCCAAGGGCACCTTTGCCCCGGGCAGATGCTCTCCCTATGTGGGCAACTGCACCCACGGCAACTCCGCCACCGAGCCCTATATTGTGGCCCACAACTTGCTCCTGTCTCACGCCGCCGCCGTCAATCTTTACCGGCAAAAATATCAGAAATCTCAAAAGGGACAGATTGGAGTCACACTAGTGACTCACTGGTTTGTGCCTAAGGTGAAGACTGTGGAAGGCCTTAAGGCTCCTTACAGAGCTCTTGACTTCTATTTGGGATGGTATGAATCAAATCCCTTCAAGAGTATGTCTAATTTGACCTTTTTCTGTCAAATTGGACACTTTGATCGTCAACTAAATAAAAATTGTGTTGCGTATCAATAAAATAAAAATATAAAATAACTTGATCAATTTTTTTTGCATGATAACTCTATTGAAATTAGTGTATTAATATGCAATAACATTTTCGTTTAATTGACGACCAAAGTACTTCTAGTCTAACCGCAAAAAAAGTAAAACTAGATAAATACCCTCGGACGGAAACAATACTTCCATGCGACACTGAATATGTTTTTTAATTACAATTTTAGCCTCATAATTTGTTTCATTTAGGTTTTTGGATCCAATCACAAATGGAGAGTACCCACCAACCATGAGAGCTTTGGTAGGGAAAAGGCTTCCGAAATTCACAGCGGAGGAGTCAAAGCTGGTGAAGGGGTCAATGGACTTCTTGGGGATAAACTATTACACTACATATTACGCATCTCCAATGTTGTCTGCACCCAACGCCGTCAATCTCAGCTACACCACAGACAGCCATCTTGACCTCACGCCTGACAAAGACGGCGTGCCACTGGGCACGCCGACACCATTGGACTGGCTATTCATTTATCCCAAAGGAATCCGAATGCTGATGCTCTACATCAAACAAAAATACAACAACCCACCCATTTACATCACCGAAAATGGTATGAAAGAAGCCTTTACGTTTTCCCTATGTTATGCTCGTTTGGCAACAACTACAGTATTTCGAAAAGACTATTTAAAAACATATTCAAATTGCTAATTGGAAACACTGTTCGCAAACGAGGCTGTTAAATGCAATGGTTTTTCTAGCTTTTCAGGGCGCTTGTGTTTCAATTAATTCAAAAATACAACTAGACCTTTGGTATGTATGATTGAACTCCGTATATTGTGCAGGTGTGGCCGAGGCCAATAACAAAAAACTGTCAGTACAGGAAGCCCTCAAAGACGATGTGAGGATCAAATACTTCGAGGGCCACCTCTGGTTCTTACAAAAAGCTGTCAAGTATGTACCATCCTTTTATACATTCTAAAATAAGACTGTCGCCTTGTCATCTATTGTTTTGTAGAACTCAAGATGTAGGGTAAATTAAATGAACGTAACGAATGATTTGCAGGGAGGGGGCGAACGTGAAGGGGCATTTTGTATGGTCGTATCTGGATTCCTACGAATGGGACGCAGGGCTCACGGTTCGGTTCGGGATGACATATGTGGACTACACCACTCTCAAAAGATACCACAAGAAGTCTGCTTACTGGTTCCAAAAGTTCCTGCTTAAATCTCCAGCCAATTAATCGAGAGGACCTATTGCCTGATCAATATCTCTTCATCTTCATTTATTTTACATTTCTAATGCTTTATTATTCCCTTCCATTCTCCGCTCTTTTTTCTGGTCATGTTTCAAATTATGATAATAATGCACATCTCCTTCCTCGGAAAGGGGTGTGGCATGTACTGCGATTTGTGCTCGTGTAATAAGTATTCGATCAATCTAGTGCTCGCCTGATTTCTCGATATTTGTTTGGTTTTCATTGTCTATATTACAATGCATATGCTCCATATATATATCCTAGGCCTGCAAGGTATCGAAACCTTGTTAATCTAAAGGTCACTAGTTCAAGCTTCTATCTAGGGTCCTCCGAGATAATTCGGAGGCCTTGCTTAGAAACTACTATGTATATTTTTGGCCTAAAATCACAAAACAATAAACACAAAAGGATTGAGAAAAAAAAACCTGGAATCTGGGAATCGCTAGCGATATTCGAAATCGAATCAAATACTGAATTTCTCTTTCAAATTGAACCTAAAATTTAACAAAATAAATAAAGGCTAAAGTAATGAACAAGCAATTAAAGGCTAAACAATTGGGAGTAACCTAGAAAATAGAGAGAGATAAAAAAAAACCATTACCGGGAAGTTGAAAGCACCGTCCGCAGGCCGTAGAAGAGGGGAAGGGAACAGGAGACTGGCGGATTGTGAAGATGGAAGCACGAAGAACTGCAGGGCAATTGGACCCGCGGTTCTGTGGACGCCGGCGGAGGAGGAAACCATATATGCAAATATATTTGCGCACGAACAGCCTCCAAGTACAAGAACAATTTACACGTAATAAAACTTCACCAAATTATCTTAATAAACTTCCTCCCTCCGTCCTAAAACCATCTTCCAGTTTGTGTTTACAAGATTTGACCGACTTTGTTCCCAATTCAATTTATTTGATTGTAAGTGTAAGTATAAAATTAAAAGATAAAATTTACATATTTAAAAACTACATTAAAAGTTCTACAAAACGAGAGGTTACAACACTATATTATTGTATCAAAGATAGCGAAAATTAGTAAAAAAAAGTGATTTAAGTTTGACCGTATGAATAGTAACTGGCTGTTCAATTTATATTTAGGACGGAGGGAGTATTATTTAATGAAGAAGTATAAAAAGATTAGGAGTATTATATATATATATATATATATATATATATATATATATATATTCGTTTTAGGATTTTTCGGTATGAAAAGTTATCCCGTACCGTTCTTAAATATTAAACTGGTTGTTCAGTTCCGTATGGTTCGATTTTTTTTTTTGCAGTATGTTTTGCTTCTATATTTTCAATTTGGTTTTCTCAATTTTATTTTTTTAAAAAAAAATTCAGGATCAGCTCGATACTTTCTGGTGGTGTAAAATTGGGTAAGGAAAGAAATGATTAAAATTGGGCGAGGAAAGTTGCATGACTAAGTGATGCTCGTGTATTGGTTGTGTAAACTTAGGCCCTGTTTGGCATCAGCGTCAGAGATTAGCGTTAGCGTTTTGAAAAAACTATCCGACGGCAGCCTTTAGCGTTAGCATTTTCAGAATTAATCTGCACCGTTAAAATTTTATCCAAAACACTAACGCTAATCAAAAACGCTGTTACCAAACAAAGCATTAAAGATACCCAAAAACGGAATGAGATAATGTAAGAAGCACTCAAAAGCAGGGAAATGCACACCAACAGAAACGTCATAAATTAGTTTGACTTTTGAAACAAAGAATAATAAATGAACCAATTTGAATTTTTAAAAAAAGAATAAAAAAAAAGAACATCTGTAATCAATGTCCTATACAAAAATATACAAAGACTCTCCCTCCTTCCAAAATACACCCAAATGTACACAGACCATGTACAAAGAAGAAGAAAAAAAATGAACATATTAAAACAAATTGAGATTTCTAGTGGGAGTGACTTGTGTTGCACATACAGTCAGGCACAGGGTACTTGGTTATATCCCTCCCCGGCTTCCGAAACTCGGGCTGGCCCACCGAGTCCCGGTGCAAGCCCAGTATGATCCGGCCCAGCTCTGCTTCCGAAGCGTTGTTGTTCACGAAGTGTTGGAGCATCTGTCTCTTGTTTGGGATGATCGTCTTCTTGTGGCCCGCGTAGGCCCGGTGGCCCTGGATGGCGTGGCCCATGTTCCCGCCGTGAGACGGCATGAACACATCGCTGTTCTCCGACACGATGTGGTCGATGCCCGCCATGACGGACGCTTTTTTCGCAAACGGCTCGAGCTCCCCCGGCAAGGCCAGGTCTTCCTTGTTGTACAAGTGAGGGAACTCTTTTGTCAATGGCTGCAGAGCTTCTCTGCCACCCAATGGAATCCCTCCTGCCCAATATATCCTGGCACTCTTTGGAGCACCCAATGCTTTGAGCAACCTAAACCCCACATGGTACAATATATAATGTCTATTAAAGCAATGTTGGCAATGGATACTCTTAGAGTATAAAAAAGAAATCATTCTTGGGCCACAACCACAAACTTGAGCTTATGGTTGAATTGGTTTCTTGACATGATAGCGGAGCCTAGATGACTAAGGGGTCACAGATTCAAAATTCAGCGTCACCCAGTTTTAAAAAATTAAGGGTTCACATGTAAGGCTTGAAAAGACTGCGCCTGCATGTGAGGGTGCATGTTAAATATATAAAAAATCATTTTTGGGCCACAACCACAAACATGAACTTTTGATTGAATAAGTTCTTACAATAATTCAAGAAGTGGTAGAAAATGTTCATACCGAGTAACTTCGAGCGCATTCAAAGGGCATAAACCGGCTAGCTTTCTTTCGTGGTGGGTCATGTTTGATCGGGAAGTTAGAAGCTCGGGTCTCGCCTTGCGCTCTTGGTTTATCATCTCATCAAACTTCGTGCTCAAACCGGGAAGGCATCCCGTCCTCACCCATACATCCTTTTCCATCCGTAGATGGAGCGCGAGATATGGTCCTTTGCTCCTCATCCTCTCCGTAATCTTATTGCCCAATTCCAAGATAGATGGAGCGAATCTCAATGCGTGGAAAGCCACCTACAAGTTTTACCAAAAGCAAGAACACAAAAACGCAAAACGAAATGAGCATAGGAAAACAAATGGTTTAGGTACACAAATTGCAGAAGCAAGAGAGGTGAAAACCATAGAGGCAGTTTTACCTTGCATCTGAGTTTTTGAAGATCAGAAGGAAGGTCCTTTGAGAGCCTTGAATCCAGACCTCGCAATAAAAGCACGCCCTCCCTCCTAAGCTGCAAAAATAGACATCAAACCAAGATCTTACTAACCTACCATAGCTTATACTAAATATAGCTAAGGAGACAACATAAATGCGACAAGAAATTCTTACCTTTTTGGAATAGTGTGAGCGAATCCATTCGGGGGAAGCATGGAGTGGAGTCCGTTTCTCTTCCACAGGTCGGGTCATTATATGCGTTGATGGAAGGGAAGAAAGCACCCTCACATCATTCTCAAGGACTTTCTTGAAGTGATCCAAGTCAAAAATGTCTGAAAATTCACTGCAATCCATACACAACACATGCAAATTAAGCATCACAATCTCCTCCAAAGTGGCATGGCTTATGGCTACTTAATAAGCAAAGCAACAAGCACTTAAGAGCAATCAAATACTAAGAGATAGTAGTACTTCATTAACATTAAGGGTAAAACAACAGAAATCAATCAGGCAATACTCATTTTGTAACAAGGTAAGAAATGTATGTAAAGAGTGTTTTAGAACAAGAAATGCAAAAAATTTATGGTTTTTTTCCTTCTTGAGATAAAAAAATGTATGAAAATATAAGAGGAATTTACTTAAATAGCACTAAAACATAATGACTTTCCCTAAATAGTATCAGATATGTTTTTCTTCCCAATGTAGAACTTTTAGTCATTATGCATTAGTCATTATTCAAACAAATATTCGTCATCACTAGACATTATGGACATTATTAAGTGCTATTTAGAGAATAAAACAGTTTAAGTGCTATTTAGAGAAATGACTTAAGTTTAGTGCTATTTAGTGCAAATATTTCAAAATATAATCCACAAACCTTTCATCACCCCAAATAACATTGACTTGCAGGATGGGAACAACCAGAGCAGCTCCAAGAATCCTGGCAATCACCACAGCATCCACAATCTGATTCCTCTGCTGATTCATTCCCCCGGAAACCACTGCGATGAGATACTTCGTCCGGTCCCTCGCGATCTCACCGCTTTGCTTCAAATACTCCCTACTGAAATCCAAACACGGCCGATACCCTAACTCATCAGGCTGCTTCCAGAACTCGCTTTCCCCGTCCCCATCCACCACAGTTCCAGTCTGAGAACCCACAAAATCGCCCTTTTCTTGAATACCCAGACACGGGTACGCCCGGGAGACGGGCAAAAAAGTATCAGAACTGAGCAAAACCTTCAAAATCATCCCAAAGAAGCCAAACAGGAACAGCAGAAACGCCCAAACCCTGGGATTGTAGAGCAAAAATCTGAACTTTGGGTGGGTATGGGTTCGGGTATGCCTCTTCCTGGGAGAGAGGAGGACCAGAGCTTGAAGGTGAGAGTTGGCCATGTCCGACGCCACAGATATATAAGACTGCTGCTTCTTCGAAGCAGCCATTTTCCCCTCCTGCGCACCCTGGGGATTCTTGATTTAAAGATTGGAGCTTTTTTGGGGTTTTCTTTCAATTCTGCTTTGTGCCCGCAGTTTCTGGAAAGCTATCGTTTCCTGTAGTCAGAGNAGATGGGAGCCAATCCGCGTTTGGAAATTTTCTTGGAAGATAAAGGACGGCGTCTCAAAGCTCAAGTGGCTCTGCTTAGCTTTCAAACTTAAAATAATGTGAATTCTTTTTTTTTAAAAAAAAAAAGGGGGAAGAAGCCAGGTAAGCAAAATGTGACATCTAAGACAGATAGTTTTGTGTTGTCGTCTTGTCCTTTTTTACTTATCTCATCCACGGATTATTTGTTTTTATGAATTAAATACAGAGTACTCACGCAAAGGGGAAGGAAGCCGGCAAAGAAATTTCTTTGTGGGGAGGAGAATCCAAATTCGATTCCCACATGTGACAATTTCATTTGGGCAAGTTCTATTGGAGTTAACTCTCTATATATGTAAACAAATTAAAAACCATTCCTCGCAGTGTAAGGTCAGAGTTTTATCGGAGTTCGCTACTCCGTTTAATTTCGAAATAATAAAGGAAACAGAGTAGGTTAGTCCGTTTCCCATGATTTTATTTCTGAGTACGCTACTCCGTTCGGATTTAATAATACCCAGACGGAGTAGGTAACTCCGTGTCCCTTCAAATCTCAGATCCACCTATCCACTCCCCTCCCATCCACTCGTTTTTTACCTTGGCCACACAGAAAACCCCACGCCGAGAGAGAAGGAAAAGCCTGGCCGAGAGAGAAGGAAACGCCGAGGGAGAGAGAAGTGCGACGAGGGGGAGATCGACGGACCCAACTCGACCGGAGGCAGGTACTCCGTTTTGTCTTTAATTTTTTTTTAAATTTGTTTGATTGTTGTTGTACAAGATTTTGAATTTTGTATAAATTTGATTTTGTAAGAAATATATTTAGTCATAGATTGTATGTATAGGTGCTTTTTTTGTTATATTTGTTTTAATGATGTGAAAATGTTGACAAATATATAGTTTAATCTTACACATTTGATACAAATTTGTATGTATGTATAGGTGGTTACTTCATGATTTTTTTTAATATAATTGTCTTGTTATATTTTTATTAATTGAATATATTCTTATGTTGTAATCTTTGAAGCAAATGGATGTACATCCGGGACCTATTTTACGCGATGTTTTAGTAATTGAAGCGGGAGACCATAGGTGTGATGCGGTTTGGGCCGAAGAAGAATATGCTAAAAAAGTATTAAAGTGTCACAGGACTTGTACTAGTTTGTATACGAGGACTCTTATTGTTAATAGACCTGTTCGTGTGAGTGAGTTTTTACGAGAATACGGATTTTATGGGGTTGAGAAAGTTGGTGGCTTGCAGTTGGACTGGGCTTTGATCACAGCTCTAGTGGAGAGATGGAGGCCCGAGACCCATTCATTCCATCTTCCCTTCGGAGAGGTTGGAATTACTTTGTAGGATGTAGAGGTTTTGCTTGGTTTGCCCGTAGATGGCAATCCATTGGCGGGGATGACTGGCCGATCCAGAGATCAGTGGATTCAGATTTGTGAGGACATGATGGGATTTAGGCCTCAAACATCCGACATTACTTCTACTATGATTAAGATGTCTGCCATTGTTCTTAAGGAACTAACATATCAGAGTTTAGATGTAGATTACTTGCAGCATGCTAGAGCTATTATGTTTAAGTTGTTGGGTGGTAGCCTATTTCCCAACACGACGGGAAATAGGGTTAGTTTGTATCTTTTAGAGATTATCATGGGTGACGCAAACATTGTGCGAGGTCGTGCGATTGGTTCGGCAGTACTCAATTACTTGTATCGTAGTATGTGTCGTGCTAGTGCGACGAGTGAATCACAGATTGGAGGTTGTCTAGTCTTGTTACAGCTTTGGGCTTGGGAGCGTCTGCCTATGACTAGACCTAGAGGGGTTATACCATTGGATCAGCTGGTAGATGTCCCATATGGAGTCAGGTATTTGTAGTTTATTTATGTATATTATAAAATCATATTGTATGTTTCATTCATGGTTGTGCATAATCCTTCACTTGCAGATGGGTGTGCTACCATCGATGGTCAGATTGTACCACACACCCCATACGGGCATACAGGGACCAGCTTGACAGATTGCTCGAGGGAGAGGTGAGTATTCATAATATCATAATGTTATACATATATATTTTAGTTTGAATGTGTATCTTAGTATTTGTTTATGCATGCAGTTTGTTTGGATGCCGTATCCGAACCTCGAGACCCTACCGCCCTATTGTTCAGCTGGAGTTGGAATATGGATTTCTAGAATCCCCTTGATCTATGCGTACGTAGTGGAGATGTACTATCCTGATCGCTTTTGCAGGCAGTTTAATGTCGTGCAACACGTCCCTCAAGTTGTTGTCTATGATCGTCATCTACATCAAATTAAGTCAAATGTTATGCAAATTGGCGATGGTGAGAGACAGTATTTAGAGATGTGGGAGGAACGTTATGATGTTACAGTGCATATGGAGTTTGGGATGGTGGATGCCACACCAGAGTATCGTCAGTGGTACTACCTTCGGGGTCGACGACAGATAGGGAACCCTGTCCATTCAGCACGGACCAGGGTACATCCCCATTTCTCCGGAGCTACAGACAGTAGTAAGTATTCATAAAGTACATATTTCTAAGTAAAATTTTTTTAAACTAATCAATGATGTTGTATGTAGTTATACTGTATGGCGGATTGCAGTCAGCGCCTTGATCCTGGTAGGCATCCAGATGGGTTTGTACCTTCGCACGAGGTATTGAGAGATCATGAGTTGTTAACAGAGTGTGTTCGTGCTCTTGGACATGCATCTATCCTTGATCACTCGGCCCACAGGAGCAGCATGCCTACAACCCAGGACATACAGGAGACGGGTAGATAAAAGGCGTGATGCACCTGCTGTCGGAGTCAGACGTGGAGGGCGGGGTAGTCAGAGGTTGCATGTCGATGATGAAGATGTACACATCCCCATTCAATCTCCCCCTATGACCCAGGATGATGATGATGAAGATGTTAGTGACGAAGAACATATTCAGAGCGACACACACACCTTCTTGCATGGTTGAGCCGTCCAGTTCACATCCTCCTGAATTCCACATAGAGCATCCTCCGAGGCGCATGCACGATGTATCACCAGTGACGTTTGATGGAGATGTGAGCAGACGTTTCTCCAGATAGCGTCCAAAAATCAAGAAGCGTACAACTGGCTTAGGGCTATTCCAAAACACATGTGGGCATTGTCCCATGATGAAGGTGGCTCACACCATGGTATTACGACAACAAATTCATCAGAAAGCTTCAATCATGTCCTTAAGGAATGTCGTTGTTTACCTGTCTTTGCCATTGTGAGGTTCACGTATAACAAATTGGTCAAGCTATTTGCTGATAGGCGAACCAATGGATATTTGCGGCAACAATTTGGGTATAATTTTCCAATGAATGTGTGAAAAAAGATCAAGAACAATGAAGAAAATAGGCTTTATTGTCGTGTTGTGCAACACCACGCACAGCATGGGATATACTCTGTGGTTGTGGATGGGTCCTTCAAGAATGGTCACCGCGAGACATTTGCGGTGAATTTAAATGCACGGACATGTACCTATGGAGATTGGGTAATATATCACATTCCGTGCATTCACGTTCACGCAGTATGTCATCAGTGTAGTGTCACTGTGGATCATTTGATTCCTAATGTTTTTTCACTGCAGTCCTACATCAACGCTTATTCTGGCATCCTAATGCCGCTTCCCGATGAGGCCGACTGGCCTACTCCAGGATACGAGATTGTGAGACCAACTGCACGAGCGAGAACACAAACCGGTCGACCAACAAGAACTCGCTACCCGAATAACATGGACTACCGACCACGACGACGTCGCAATGAACAATAGCTCAAATATCCAAGTTTATGTTTTATGATTTTCACAAAATAAATTAGTGATGGCATGTGTTTTGTATCCTTAATTTTATAGATAAATTTTATGTACTCTATCAATAAATTTGTTGTAATTTACTTCTTATTTTTAATTCGGTGTATGGTGCATTATTTAAAGTCAATAAATATTTATTTTAACTATGAATTTTATTGTTAGTAGATTCTTTGTTTCATTATATGTCAATAATTTGTTGATTTTTATAATTTTTTATGTTTTTTAAATATAAGAAATAAAGTAAATACTTCATTTTAAAAAAAATTAAAAAAAAACAATGAACGGAGTTGGCTACTCCGTTTCGTAATTAAATAATTGGAACGGAGTTGGCTACTCCGTTTGGGTATTTAAATGATTGGAACGGAGTAGGCTACTTCGTTTCTGGTAAATTCTGCAGGCCAAACGGAGTCCGCTAATCCGCTTTGCTTTATTTGGGAAAGTATATAATAAAGTTACATATAATGGAATACAAAACAAGGAACTTACACATGCAGGGAAATCACCCGTTCTATTGTGTCCTCGAGTGAACGAGGATTAGTCGGGCGGATTTGAATTGCAAGACGAGCAGAAAAAAAAGAGGAATTTATGTAAATAACACTAAAACATAATGACTTTTCCTAAATAGCACTGCATATGTTTTTTTCCCAATGTAGCACTTTTAGTCATTATCGATTAGTCATTATTCAAGTAAATATTTGTCATCACTGGTCATTATAGGCATTATTAAATGCTATTTAAGAAAGAAAACAATCTAAGTACTATTTAGAGAAATGACTTAAGTTTTAGTGCTATTTAGTGCAAATATTTCTATTATTATTTATTACCTTTCTTATTAGATTACTTTCTTATGGTATTGTTATTATAATTTTTCTTTTACTATTCAACAAGGCCAATTATTATCAAAGTATATGATTTTTTCTCACGTATAGTCCCAAAATACCGATCATGGAGTGCGAGTAATATTTTTAAAAAAGACTACAAACATGATATCTTATGGTTCGAGGTGAGGGGATGTTGGCGCGTGCCGTGAACGGTGGAGCGCGGTGAGTGGTGCTGGAGGTGGGGAGCCGTAGTGGGTGGATGGGAGGGGGGAGGTGTCGGGGGTAGACTGGTGGGGAGTAGGGATGGACGGTGGAGTGTGGCTTGGAGATAGGGCAAGGGGGCCTGGGTGGACATGGGTGGCAAGGTGAAGGGGGCGAAGGGTACGTAGGGGGTGTCGAGGAGGATGTGATGTGGGAAGCTCGAAGGGGTGCAAGTAGCGGCGGCCCAAGGGTCAGGGGCGGGGGCAACGACAGGAGCGGGAGTAAGAATTTTTCTTCAAAGTAAACGGAAATCATTTTTCCTTTGTTGAAAGAAACTTTTTTTTCTTTTAAAATATTTTCCAATCAATGTTACAAAGGTAAAGGTAAGACATTAGAATTGAATTTTGAAAAAATTCACATCATTACTCCCAAAATTACACAATTTTATATAAATACTCCGAGATTCAATTAATGACATCAATACTCCCAAAATTTACATATGTTTACATCGCTGCTCTTAGAATTCATTTATGTTTATATCAATGCTCTAAATGTTGGGCACCGATGTAAATGTATTTCAATGTTGGAGTACTGATGTAAAAACTGTACTTCACTCTGAAGTAGTAGAGCTTGTTCTTTTCGTCTAATCTGATTGAACTTGATCTAGTTTTATTAAAATTAGATTTTTGATTTCAAAAAAAAATAAATACATTGAAAAGAATATATTCTTAGTTTAAAGGATAATAATATTTTGATCGGTGGCTGGTATTATAAGTACGTATTAATGATGAATGGCATTTATTATCACGTTGGCTGCATAGCTAAGAGGGAACCTGAAGATCGAATTTAAATTGGCAAATGGCAGCGTACTAATTAAATGCTAAACCATTTGTATTTTTCATTAATTAACACGCCATTTAATTTAACTCATAGGGTTTAAGAAAAAAAAGGTTGAGCCTCATCTCCCAGAAGACACTTTGATGGCAGGGCCAGCCCCGAAAAATGAAAAAAATAAAATTGGTCCGGTCCTAAATTTACATGTTGGACCCTATTTTATTTTTTTAAAAATACTTTTCTTTTAAAATTATTAACAAATTAAAAAACATGGAGCCCTAAAATTTTAGGGACCCTGTGCGGTTGGACAATTTGGACACCCTCCGGGCCACATATGCTTTGATCCAAGGGAACTCATAGAATATAAAGTTACACGGTGTGGGGGTGAGGAGGGTGATGAGCAGAAATTGTAGGGTATTACTCCACTTTTTTTGTCCAGTTTTGACTTTTGGAACTGTTCATCTAAGCACTTTGACTCATCAAATTCTCTCAATGTGTAAGTCTAAAAATAGTCATGTGTGATCTTGTTTGATTTGTCTTAACATGTAGATTATTAATATATAATTTTTATAATTTTTTAATACACAAATTACAAGATAAAATGGATTAAAGAAGTGCATTGGATGGTGTGCAAAAATGAAAGTGGACAAAAAGAGTGGGACGGAGGGAGTATATTCATTACTAATACCCTANACTTTTGGAACTGTTCATCTAAGCACTTTGACTCATCAAATTCTCTCAATGTGTAAGTCTAAAAATAGTCATGTGTGATCTTGTTTGATTTGTCTTAACATGTAGATTATTAATATATAATTTTTATAATTTTTTAATACACAAATTACAAGATAAAATGGATTAAAGAAGTGCATTGGATGGTGTGCAAAAATGAAAGTGGACAAAAAGAGTGGGACGGAGGGAGTATATTCATTACTAATACCCTACTACGTGGAATATAAAATACACTTCTAGAAAATATATATTACAAGTGCAAAGGGCCAAAAGGTCCAAAATATTCAAGTCAGAAGACCATAGCCACGGGGCATCCATTTACCGACTGATGACGGTTTCGACTATGAAAACTCAATTGCATTGCATAGGGCGCGAGTAAGGATAAATAGAGATCAGATGTGGGCATCCATATCATACATACCGTGGGGCCTAAAATGAAGTAACCTAATTAACAAGATAGGGAGGCCCCGGCCCATACACGAGTAACACCACTGTCTCTCCATGATGACCAAATGGTCTCAATCCTCCATGCTGCTACCACCACCAATAATATTTGTGATTTAAAAAAACTAAATTGAGAATCCTAATTTTAATATAAAAAAAATAAAATAATTGAAGTTATACTTCCTAGCTCCAACATCTATCACTACCCATTATAAAATGAGGCGGTTCCCGTTATATTGATTATCAATGTTATGAGATGACCCGAAAATTCTACGGTGCTCATTCGTAAAATAGATAATTTCTATTCTTCCTAATTCCTCCAGCAAACTCTCAATCCTGCCCCGACACGAACTCACTCACGCCCCCTTCAATTGCACCTTTTAACTTTAATTGACTTTGGAGTCAAAGTTTTGACTTCAATGTCAAATAAACTTGGAGGGTGCAATTGAAAGGGGTGACGGAGGGAAGGGAGTTGGGGAGGAAGGGAGGTATGAACCATCAATTTTTCGAACAGAGCATCGTAATTTGTAACTGTCTCGGGATATGCTATGACATTGTCGCGCAATGTCAGATAAATCGAGGTGTTAAACAATAAATCAACTTATCAACATATGAAGCATCCCATGTAGATCTGGCGCGCAGTGCCGCCTCTATCTCTCCCCCCTTGTAGAGTTGAAAATATATCGCACCGCCTATATCCAAATGCTCTATAATTGAGTCTGCATTGTAGAAGTAAAAAATATTTCCAACTTATTGCATTCATCCCCTTTTTTTTCTCCGAAAAATTGCATTTTCATTAGGTATTGATTTTGGTTTGGTTTTTTCTTTTCATTTTTGTATTTGATTGTTTTTCTTTTAATTTTTTGTTTGATTGTTTTCCTATTAATTGTGTTTAAATTTTGCTCTCAATTTCAGCAAAATTTGGTGATAGTGATAAGAAACTTGATATTGTATGTTGACAATCCTGACATTTCACTTTCTTTTTAACATTTTATATTGACATGTTTGACATTAGGCAATAACATGTTTGGCATTATGCAATGACATGTTTGTCAGTATGCATTACATTGTGACTTTGGTTGACATTGTATTGAACATTTTCCTTTGGCAGAGACACCATGGCACTATGGTGGCGACAATGACAGTCCTGATCCCAATGTTGGCAGTAAATTGTGACATTGACAGTAGCATATGGGGCGATGGAGGCGGCATCCACAACAAATGGGGATGAGAGCAGCAGATCGCGGTGGCGATGACGGCGAATTTGCTCGTGGTGGTGTTAGTGGAAGCAACAATGTAGATGATGACCGCATTTAATAGCGACGACATCAGAAGATTGTGGCGATGGAGTGGAGGCGGCGGCAATAGCGGCGATCGCGGCAGGGGTGGCGACCGTGACATGTGCGGCAGGAGCTGTAGCTAATTAGGATTTTTTTAATTTTTAAAATGTATTTAATTTCATATTTTTAATAAGAATATAATTTCTATTTTGGTATATGGTCAATGTTTTACTTGTATTTCGCTCCTTAATTTTAAGCCATTAGATTAATTAAAAGTTAATTACTCCTATTTAGGGGAGTTTATGTTTCAACTCTTATTTTGAGGACATGTCATATGTTTTAGTACTACTTTGGTCTTTCTCCCTTCTTTTTTATCGAAGATTAGAGTTTTGTTACATATTTAGTTCTTCCACATTTTACTCTTTCTAATTTTTTCTAAATTCTTCCAGTTTCTTCAAACTTCTTCCAATTTTTCGAAAATCTATCTAACTCTAAAATTCTAAGCTAAAAGAACATGGCCTTAACATCCAAAGTATAAAAAGAAATCTCCCTAGATGGGAGTAAAAAAGTATGAAAACACCAAAATAGTAGTCCTAAGTCTTTTAAGACTAAAATAAGAGTATAATAGCAGTATGGTGTAAGAGTACGTGTTGGCAGTTTGATGAAAAATGATGACAGTGTAATACTCCCTCCGTCCCAAAAAGTTTGTTACGTTTAGAAAAAACTGCGTCCCGTAAAGTCTGTTACATTTCTATTAAAAAACCATTACCCCTTACTTTTTCATACCCTACCTATCACATCATACCTTTTTTCTAATAATCTACCCATCACATTCTACTTTTACCCATCACATCAAGAGTATTTTTGGAAAGTCAATACCAAAATATCTCTCCCTTAATTTCCCAAAAAGTCAAACCGTCTCATTCTTTTTGGGAGGGAGGGAGTATATTAGTGTGATCAATCAACCGCCAGTGCTCCACAGTGACACACTAGTCGGCGGCGGCGACGGATGATAGTGTGGCGGTGATAGTGTGACAGTTACAATTTGACAATGTGGTGAATGTGCTAGTGTAATAATGATAATTTGAACTCCAATTTTGATCTTAAAAGACTTATGAAACTTATTTTATTATTTTCATAGTTTTTTACTCCTAACTAGGGAGTTCTCCCAAATATGGAGTATAAAATTTGAATTATTCATTAGAATCTCCAAACTTGGTATCATTAACGTAAAATTTTCCTAAAAATAATACTCCGGTACTCCGTAATTACCAAAACACTAATTTCCATAATTAAAGACGCACTGTTAAAGAAACTTTTATCTAAAAGTAATTATTTTCAAATTTGTAATTGGCGAAATTGATCTTTAGATCAATAATCCTTTCAAATAACTAACACAAACGAATTAAACACATACGTAGTGGTAGTATTATCCGATCACTTAGGTCATATTCTCTTCAAATTATTCTTATTATTTTTTATTTTTTCTTATTGGAATCAGAACAGATCAGATAAGATCAGAAACAATTTTAAATATAAGTATATTCAGATCAGATCGGAACTTATTCCAATCAAATTAGAACCATTCAAATCAGATGGATGAAGAGAACATGGCCTTAGATTGCCAAGCATAGTTATAGACAAAATGAAAAGTGAGGTTAAAAAAAATACATGTACAGTATTTTCTAATGTAAATTAAATATTTGAAATACTTGTGTTACTTGGTTAGCAACTTTAGCAAAAAAAAAACCAAAAAGTGTGTCTTGCTTATGTTGGTCTCAAAAGAGCGCCTAGACACGGAGCAAAGATGCTGAAAAATAATACAAAGCATGTTCTTTTGACTATATGACATATTGACAAATTAAAATAAAAAATTTTGGAATCGTTGACATTTGGGTTTTAAAAACATTGTTGTCGACAATTTTAAAAAAATGAAAATAATCTTTTGGTTTTGAGTCATGAATTAGGGAAACACAATTGTATTGAATGAAGATTAAATGTTTCAACATATATATACTATTAGGGAGCATGTTGGTTCTTCCCGGACTTTATAAATTACCATGTCTCTTTAATACAATTAATATCTGATTTTCAAAAAAATGTGTACAAGTGTGGGACTGTAGTCCCTGAGTCAATTGTCATTCTTACGTTATGCTCCCTTCGTCCCAAATGCTTTGCAACATTTCAAAGAACGTACAGAATATCATGTCTTTTAAAATTATTTTATTTACAAATTGATAATGAATAAAAAGTAAAAATTAGACCGTTCAAAAGTTCTACAAAATAAGATGGCACAAGAATATTTTATTTTATCAAATGGTTAACCAAAATGAGCAAACAAACAAGAGTTGTCGAAAGACCGAAATAGTAACTGTGACATTATTTTTGGAACGGACGAAGTACATTTGTATGTATGATTTTTATTCTATATGTGGATGGGACATAGTCATTTATAAATTAAATTAAAGAATACTCATTTCACATATTTATTTCATTGCATGTATGTTTGAGGTATACACATGCTCTAAAATCTAACCGTGTGAGCTAGGAACCCTAGTGAGCCATTCTGGTGAAGAAGGTCCACCATCAATCGTGACTCGAGCTACGACTAAGGGCATATGAGAATGGGCGGCCTGGAGAGTGTACAAATTGTACACCCAGACAGGGCTCTCAAACTTGTAGGGCCCAATATTGTTATATGTTTATTATTCTGATTATTTGATATTTTAAATTTTAAATAAACTTAAACTTTAATACTCAAATTTTTATAAAAACAATTATTAAAAACCAAATTTAGAACTAATTTTGAAGCATAAGTACTCTGCAAAAACAAAATAGGGCCCTACATGTAAATTTCCCACAGGGCCAATCTCATTTTTCACATTTTCGAGCCACCCCCATATCTAAGCTCCACCGTTCAGCTAGTCACTTTTGAAACCCTAGCACGTTGAGGAAGAAGCTAATCGATCTGGGTTGAGACTGAGACTTGCAACAACGCTATTAAGTTAGAATCCTGACTGATAAAGATGATAACGATGAAGATGAAGTTTGTGGAGGAGGATATAGGGATTTGTTGTTACTCGTAAATGAGCAATTTATATAGTTATAATGAACATTATGTTTGTTTTGTGAAAATGAGTATTCTATTAAGCACAAGTGAACATTTGATGAATATACAATGAAAATAAAAAAAAATAAAATGAACATTGTTGCTTAGAGCTAGGTAAAACCGATCGTATCATATATGTACTGAGGTAGAGGCAGAAACACTAAACGAATCGTGATTTATGTGAAAAAGAAATTTACAGTATTACTAATCTCCCAGTATTTTTGGGGCATGAGAAAAACACAAACAATTTGTTTAAAAAGGTAAGTTTTTGCAATCGTACAGATTAAATAGGGATTGATTTTGAACGACACAAATATAGAATGAGACAAAATAGTGTCTTAGACAATAGACATAAATGATAAAAAGACAGTGTACATAATTCAATGCTTTGGCAGTTACTCTACCACTTGAAATTCTTCATGGAATATAAAGCCTGGGGAATGGGCCTTGTTGGGCCAAATAAATCGAGCTTGAGCGAGCTACAGCAACGGGACTATGCATATGGTCCATAACCCATATAGCTAGCCCAAGCCTTTCAGCCCACAGGATGAGCTAGGCCCATAAAGCCATTGGGCTTCCTGTATAGTGAATAAACAGCCAGTATCCCACCATCAAAATTTATCTATCCATTTCTACACATATAATAAACAGGCCAAAGAATATGTTCAACTAGCTCTCCAATGCCCATCATCACCGAACTAATCAATTTCCTTCCAAAAGAATGGCACCTAGATGGTGACGGGTACTTACACGTGGTTGGAAACGTAAAAACGTCATATTTTCCACAAGGATTTGAGTGGTGGGAGGATGTCCGAAAGTACCCAAACGGTGAAGTTTCAGGGACGGGAAGCGACACTCATTTGGCCTACAATTCAGCCTCGACCAAGATTGGAGCCCCGGATTCAGTAGAACGTGGCCACAATGGGGAAAGTGCAACCACCTTCCCGATGATGATCAAAGTTGGGGATACTAGTTGATGTGAAGTGATCGCATCTGCTAGATTGCTCAGCTCGGCAAATACCTGAATGAATTAAAAAGAAAGAAAGAAAAACAATGCAATAAGCTTCACATTTCTCAAGAGAAAAAAACAGTTCAAAAGTAGAGTTATTCTATTGTCCATACAAGAATATGATGCAATCATTTCTCAACGGAGACATATACGTTCACTGATAAGAAACAAATTGCTCGTTAAATAGAAGATTATGTGATTAGTAAGCACAAATGAGTTATTCTATTGCACTCAAAGGAAACTTATATGTTCATTAACTCGCAGTGGATTTACATTAATCGTGTAGGATAGAATTTTTGTCGAAAGTATGCTTTTGTTCAAATATCTTCCCAATACTTGAAGGACAAATTTGATCTAATTTACCTCTTTCCTGGCTGGTTTGGACGGACCCTAGCGAAAAGATAATTTAAATAAATGGATCACATACACTACGTTGTTGTGGGGTGGTCCCACGTTCAACAGCAGCAGCTGGAGTACCAGGCGGCAGGCCATGATGCATCAACTTTGAGGCAAGAGAAGGAAGAGTTGACAATCCCATGTAAACAACCAAGGTGGAATCCGGGTCGGCGGCATTCTCTGCCACAAATAGAGGGTCCGTTCCTCCTTTTCTTGAATGGCCTGTCAGAAATCTAACGCTGTTAGAGACACCGCGGTGTGTCAACGGGATTCCCAGCTCTGCTGCTATTCCCGAAGCTGCAGTTATACCTGCACTCATTAGCCATGGCTAGTTAGAGCAATCACCCTGATATAACCTACAAAAGAACTTTTGAAAACCGGTGAGACCAATATTATAGAAAGCACTAGGCGTTAGGCGAGGCCTGTGAGACCGCGGTTAAAATGTCATTCTTAAAAAAACAATTTAAAATCAGGGTAGTTAAGCATTGCCTACCATCACCTACCATGCCTCTTAAAGTGCAAAAGAAAAAAAAACAATGAGTAGTGGGTTGGAGTTTGAAATGTGAGTTCAGGAGAGTTTTATAAACTATTGTGTGTAAAGGTTTGCTTTTGAACTACTAATTCACCAAAGATTTCAAGCTTGCCAACTCGAGCATAGGTATTTCTGGAAACAAAAAGAGAGCACTTGCTTTACAATTGTAAGGTATCATACCAGGAATAACTTTCACTTCAATTCCTTGCTGTTGTAGAAAGTCCATCTCTTCTCCACCCCGCCCAAACACCTATTCACCACAATGTAATAAGTCTTATAAATTACATACTAAAAGACTCTGATACTGATCAAATATCCAAGGCTAATAAAATTGCACACCAAAGGATCTCCTCCTTTCAGCCGGACAACAGTGGCCCCAATTTCAGCAAAACTAAGAAGCAACTCATGAATCTCTTCCTGCAATAGGTCAAACTAAAAAATGTTGGCTCCTAGTTTATTGAGACTATTGTCTGAACATGGTCTTAAATAACTACACTCAATTAACCAAAACCCAAGTTCATAATAATATCAGTTTCATAAAATATCCATTTCAATATCTGTAAGGGACAAATCAACTAAGAATTGCAAAAACTTTCCAAAGCAGAGCTGAAACATTTTCTGAAGCTAACCTGTGTTCTGCTATGGTACCCAGCAGTTTTGCCAACATAGAGAAACCTAACATCAGGACCCACTAGATTGAGCACATCATTGGAGACCAATCTATCATACAACACCAGATCAGCACCCTGAATCACTCTCAATGCCCGGAGAGTCAACAGTTCCGGATCCCCCGGTCCAGTCCCCACCAAAAAGACATTCCCGGGACCTCTCTTCCCGGCGTCATAACTCTTCCCCCGCTTCTCCTTTAACACCCGAAGCAACTTCTTGAGCTCAGGAAGCTGCTGGGCAATGTCATAGTCCCTCAAAAAGCTAGGGTCAGCTGGGAGCGGGTGCGAAGGAGGCTGCTGCAATTCGCTCTTGTAAATCCAGTTGTCCCTCTGGTACCTCTCCACTGAATGCCACTCAATGAATGGGGAATTAGAATGGGATGCATAGTGGATAGAGCAAACGGGGTTCAGTTTAAAAGATTCAATTTTTCTCAATCGGGCATTTGAAGATGAAGAAATACCATGAATTTTGCTCAGAAGAGACATCTATTTCCCAAGAAATGATAGACGAATGCACTCTCTATATAAAGTATAATACGGAGTATTGCATTATTTGGTACAGTATTCGACTTTTATAGATGCCGAATCATATTTGGCCTTTGGAGAGCATTTGTCCTATGGGCAACATTAAAAGCCATCGTGTCTAGGGTTGGGCGCGTGCCGGGTCGGGTCAATCGACTACTCATGCTGTTCAGATCGCAAAAATATAATACTCAATAGATATCATAATCAGAATTTCAGATCGAACACCAAACCATTGAGGTGTTTTGGGGGTTTTAGACCTCTTTGCTTTGGAGTAGATTTTAGAGATACCTCTCCGGCGAGGCAGTGGGAAACACTTGAAGCGATCGGTATGATGTCGAATTCATCAGCGGCGGCGGCGGCGATTCATTGGACGATGAAGCAAGTCGTTGATGAAGACGGTCAAGGACAGGGACGCGTTTCAGCAGATGGGGCCAAGAGCTTCGGCAAGTTTGCAAGAGGAAACAGATGAAGTATGGACTCCTGGAGCAGCTTGAAAGAAACAAGTTCTACCAAAAAAAATGCATTGAGATTCCTTTCAAAAAAATGCATTGAGATTTTAACCATTCAGACACAAAATATTACGGAGTAGTTTAAATAAAAAATTTACACAGACATTTTTTGTCAATATTAATTATCACACTAGCACAAAATGTCGATGTATGTCTTTAGAAATATCATGTAAAATCTAATGAAATAGTTACAGTTTCATACATTTTCATCCCTTTATAAAATAAAATTATTTTTTATTAATGGTTTTATAGAATTTTTTATGTTATTTTTAGCATATATTTTTTTATTTTATTACTCCCTACGTCCTATATCTTTCTTCCCGTTACGCAAAACGAAGAAAAATCCAAGTTTTTTCAATCTATTTTATTTAAATATTGGTATAGAAATAAAAAATAAAACATACATATTTAAAAACTACATCAAAAGTTCAACAAAACAAGTGATGACAAGAATATTTTATTTTATCATATAGGCCATGAAAAAACACAAATAAATATAAATTCCTGTGAATTTGGAATAGTGCTTTGGGAAGAAAGTTTTAGGACGGAGGGAGTATTATCTACCATGTTATTTGAATTATCACTTAACTAAACTTTCAACAAATCTGCATCCATGCATCACCTCCTCCTTGATACCTCTTAAATCTAGCTCCAACTTTATTCTTACGTGTGTGCAATCAAAGACAAGAGACTACACATTCAGCTCTAAAGCAGTGATCAGGTATTTAACGATAGGCAAATTTGTAGTTCTAAGATTTATGTTCATTTTATAGACTTTAGTACATTGATATCATAAAAGAATTGAGACAAATTCTTATATGGTCTTAAGGTTCGTGCTAATTTTATGGACCTAAGTGTATTTATATCATAAGAGAATGATGCCTTTTACCAAAAAAACTATTTGTCAACACGTTAAAACTGTGAGAAGGTCCACATTTCAAATGTGGACCTTAGGATCAGACCATGTGTTATGACGAAATTGACGAGAGCTTGACAGAGTATGAAGAAATATGACATATAGTGATAAAAATATGTGTGTTGTGGGGCTTGAAAAAAGGATGTGACAAAGAAGTGATGTGGTGAAGATGTAGATTATTTTGATTGGTTGAAACAAAAAAAAAGATGAAACCCACCTTCACGGCGAGATGGCTGTAACACCCTAATCCGTCCAGGTCTGCAGCCTCATTCGGACTAAAGTATTTAACTTGGTAATCGTAAAAATTTAAAACTTTTCAAACACACTTGATTAATCTCAATAATATTTTTCATAACATATACAGTACGGAGTATTCAACAATATTGCGGAAGCGATTTTGATATTGACATATCATAAATTGTTTCCAAAACTTGTCACATCCATCCCGACAATCTCGCCCCATCTGCCGCCAGGATCACATTGTGCTTTCTGCTTACCTGCGTGTAGCAAATAAAACACACTACACGCTCAGCGGTAAAGCTGAGTAAGCATATCTAATGCGTCGAACATCCATATAAACCGAATCTAAATTCATAATCAAATCATTTGATATCATGCTCACAATGTTCATTTCAGACATTCACAGTTTTGGTATTATTCAGTTCATATCAACACATTTTATTCAATTCAGATATTAATCCAATAGTGCTCTTAAATTATTCTTAATCTAAGGCCAGATCATAACAACGCTCTTAGCTATTCTTAGTCTAAGGCCAGATCATAATAATGCTCTTAGCTATTCTTAGTCTAAGGCCAAATCATAATTTNCTCGCCCCATCTGCCGCCAGGATCACATTGTGCTTTCTGCTTACCTGCGTGTAGCAAATAAAACACACTACACGCTCAGCGGTAAAGCTGAGTAAGCATATCTAATGCGTCGAACATCCATATAAACTGAATCTAAATTCATAATCAAATCATTTGATATCATGCACACAATGTTCATTTCAGACATTCACAGTTTTGGTATTATTCAGTTCATATCAACACATTTTATTCAATTCAGATATTAATCCAATAGTGCTCTTAAATTATTCTTAATCTAAGGCCAGATCATAACAACGCTCTTAGCTATTCTTAGTCTAAGGCCAGATCATAATAATGCTCTTAGCTATTCTTAGTCTAAGGCCAAATCATAATTTTCATAACCAGATCCTTAAAAGGCAATTATTAATCAGACACTTAAACTATCATTAGTTTAAGGCAATTGATTTCGGACATTTAACTGTAGTCAGTTAAGGCAATCAGACACTTAAACTATCATTAGTTTAAGGCAAATGATTCACTTAACTGTAGTCAGTTAAGGCAACAACAATATAGCGATTGGTCAACAATTTATTTTAATCAAAACAAATTTGATTTATTTTAATAATTATCTATTAATAATTCTAAGGTATGTTTTGGGGCGTTACAATGGCTATCACCCACAAAGACCGCAACGCCCGATCACAAGAAATGTGGCACGGTGGAGCAAGCGTGAAGAGGCTTGAGGAAGGGACATGCCACTTCCGTCAAACCCCATAACAAATAGCCTCGTGGAAGAACAATTCAAGAATTGGGGCTTTAAAAAAACAAAATGCTCATTTATTAACCCATGGAAAATGTGAACTGGTCCATATTTTTTATATGAACCTTAAAACCATAGAAGAATAGCTCTTAATGATAAAATACGCACAGACAAAATCAGTTCATAATTCATTATGCTATATAATGCACTTATTAATTATCAAATGCACACATTATCATAGTACAAGACAAACACAATATCAACAATACATATGTAATTAATCATTTTCATCATAATTTATCCATCATTATTAGTTCTAGATCCAACTAGAATCATGATCAACCACATTTTGTAGTTGACGATCTCAATCAATGTATTGTATTCTACATCAGTCTAGTGGAGCCCTTATCATATATTACAGTATGTGTCAGACTCTCGTACATATATTTTAACCATGGCTAATGGACATATTCAATCTAAATTATAGCTCCATTATCTTTAGGTCAAACTTAGAACAACTAACCATGCTAGAGGTACCACATGAGATATACCCCAAAGTATACACTAAAGCTATACACTCACATTTTGATGGTTCACGCTGACACAATATCAACAATATATATGTGATTAATCGTTATTTATATGCCATTATCTTAGCTAATAACCTATTTTAGGCTAAGACAAATTAATAGTTCTAGATCCGACTAGAATCCTGATCAACTATATTATGTAGTTTACTATCTCAATTGGTGTTTTCCACACCGGTCTAGTAGAGACCTTATCATATTTTACAGTGTGTATCGGACTCTCGTACGTATATTTTAACCCTAGATAATGGAAATATTTAGTCCCCATGGCACTGATATCCCAATTAAATTCTATCTCCAATACCTTTAGGTCAGACTTAGAACAACTAACCATGCTAAAGGTACCCCACGGGATATACCCCAAAACGTACACCAAACCTATGCACTCACATTTAATGATTCACACTGACATAATATGCTATTGCGATAAAAAATGTACTAGTATTTTGTACCTGTGTAAATTATCCCCTTAGCATCACACTGGCACAAAATGAAGGTGCATATTTACGTTGTACAATTTAGGATACTATTTGGGGGGGAAGGGAGGTGTCCTGTAGAAACCATGAATTTTATCAATGGGACACCGTATGTGTCATATGTCATTTGAAGGTCTTTTTACCTAAGGTCAAAAGAACCATTAGATATTATTGTTATTATTATTATTGTTGTTGTTGTTATTAGAGTTATGGTTTGGGGAACTATTAAGAGCTTGAATAAATGAGAAAAGTTGAAAAAACTAGAAAATGTTTAAAGAAAATGGAAAAATCTAAAAGAAATTAGAATAAATTGGTAAAAATAAAATTTAAAATTTAAGTTTGAAAGAAGAGGATTTAAATAGAGTAGCAGCCAAAGCGTATGTTTCCGAGAACGGTAGCAGCCAAAGTACTTCGGAAGCTGCCTGAATGGCAAATAACCTGAAGGGAGCGACAGAGGAACGAAGGCGGGTTGGACCACCGAGGAATAGCATGTCATGATCCGAGTGAGGGTGGACTTAATGTAATGTTGATACAGGCTTCGATCAGCAAACCAAGATAGCACGGGTTGGAATGGTGGTGCGAGATGCGCTTGGAGGCTTCTTACGGGGGCACGCCTCAGGCTTGGTCAACTTGAAGATGCACAGATGGCTGAAGCAAGTGGATTATGCGAGGCTCTCCATTGCATAAAGTCAACTAATGGTAGAAATTGGTAGTGAGGTTGCCTTCAACGCAATCCCAAGTGATATAAAGAACTTTTCTTATTTTACCGAGATTGTTTCTGATTGTAAGACGGTGATGCGAAACTTTGATTCTTTCACACAGTCAGTTGTTAGAAGATTAGCAAATCAGATTTCTCATTTACTTGCTCAAGCATTTGATTATGAGTGATGGGTATATCCTTATACCCGGCCCGAATAACCGAAAGGGACAGGTCAAAAGTTGACCGGTCACTTTCCATGATTACAAAATGAGGCAAACTCTTCGATTGAGACGGGTCAAAAGTTGACCGGTCACTTTCCTCAAAAAGTGACCGGTCACATTTTGGGCGATAGCCAAAATATCACCTAATGTTACGAAGGATATTCCGGAAGACCAAAGAGACGGGTTGAGCTCAAGAAATGACTGAGTAACCTTTGAGAAAAGGTGAGCGGTCATATCACTTTACTTGGCTAACATTGGTTCAACCTCTTAAGCATGGCAATCAGCATCAGAGGCCAGGGAACCATCCCGCCGCTCATCCATCACGAGGCATACTGTGAAAGGGATGTTTGTCATCTTGCAGGGTTGATTGGATTGAGAATATCCACATTAGAGTCTTTGATTGAATAGTGTCTTGGCTTGTAGCTACTAAAATCACTGATTGAATAGTGATTACATTATATACAGTGATCTTCCCACGAGCTTCATG